TCTGAAGTCAACACAGTAACATAATATGCAGTGGATTTTATAGTGACAATCACTGTAAAAGGAACCAGCTTAGAAAACTCTTTTCTCTTAGGATATTATTAATAGCAGGAATAATTAATATTGTTTTATAAGCTTAATTAATAGAGCACAGGTGCTCTAGAACAATACTGACAGTTTAAGCAACTTAGGCTAGATAATGAAAAGCTAGACATAGATAAAGTATATGTTAAATAGAACATTTTGAGTCTTTTCTCAGAAGTCTAGAAGTGAATTATGATGAAGATCATTCAGAAGATAAGTAACCATGATGACCAAAGACTGCATCAATGAGCAGCAGCCTCCAAAGAGCAATTAGAATGGAATGGTAAGAACTAGTCAAAACTGTGGACTACAATGGACTTTTGACATTGATGATGAATTGAGAGCTGAAAGTTCCTGGAAAATCACCAAAGACTCTTTGTATTTTATGTTATATCATATATATAGAGGGTGCTTTTTGTTAGCCATTGCCACTCACTAAGGTGATGGCCCAACTCTGAGTTGTTAATAAAGCAAGTCTAGAGATACCCACAGTCTGGTGAAATCCTTTAACAATCACAATAAAAATATTTTAGATTCAAAACTCGTAGAAGAACCCAATCAAGCACAGGCACAAGAGCAGCTACACTACATCATAGAAGGGGTTAGTTGTTTTTTCAACATTAAGTACAAATAATGACATATATTTCTTCTAACACAAGCTAAGATCACAAGTTAGAAGACCGAGCAAGATAGTTAGTAATCAGTAGGAAATTATTAAAAACTATCCATGGAGGTAGTCAAGATGAGGAAAAACAGTATTGGACTGAAATTAAACAGGGTGAAATAACTGAAAGTCTTTGTTCATCTGTGTAGGACATTCAGATACAAAAGTCTTGTTTGTGGTTCAGAGAAACAAAATAGGAATAAAAATTTCAGAGAAAATGTTATCCAAATTCTTTCATCTTGAGTTTAATCTGAAGAAGCAGCTCTCCAAGAGTTTTATTAAGCAGCATCAGTAAGAAAACAAGCATTTTTCTAACAATCAATTGTAATTTATATTCTTTCTTTGCCCATACCCTGTATAATGAATTACGTCTTGGAGCATCTTCATCAGCACAGCACTTCTGATGTGTTTTTTAGGTACAGTCTTTTTATTTTCTTGTACAGAACAGAGGCACCCAAAAGAGTCCCCTCCCAAGACATGCCGACCCACCAGTCTCCTTAATTTCTAGAGGAAGAGGAAAGAGCAAGTGGAATATTGAGCACCATGGAACCCACCATATCACTATTACAGATGCTATTGTTCATCTGCATCCATGATTCTCCCTGTTGAGAGACAACTCCCAAAGTCTTTTGTCACACACAAAAACTGCAAATGACACTGTCACAAGACAGAACAGCTTTTTGAGTGTGGTACAGACATCCAGGTCCCTTTGGATACTGTAGTTGCCTATACTCTGCTTTTTTGATTTAGTCTTCTATCTTGAAGTATGTAACAATCCCTACTTGAAGCTGTTTGTTGTTAGAGTCAGGAACTGTTACCACTCTAAAAGAAATCAAATTGGGGTCCTGTGAATCTTTCGTAGTGCTTTCACCCAGAGCAGCAGTTAATAACTACATCATGGAGAATTACATTATCTCCTAAACTTACATACTATCCATAAATTCAAGCTACATCCTCCCTGCAGTTCACTTCCTATGCCGTTCAATATCTCCTATTTTTACACCAAACTTTAAATGCTGTACCACTTAACTTTTAAATTAAAGATGTCGAAATTGTAGATGTTTTTTTAAATTAGAACAAAGCATCATGATCAGAATAGGGACTACAAAAGTAAATACTTTATCTTCTTCAAAAACACTGTAATAAGTAAAAAACAAAACAAACCACTATGTTGGGTACAAAAGAAATGTACTACGGATTAAGCCCTAAAAATATAATGTAACCTTATCTTTGATGGATGCATTATATCTACTGCTAGCAGACTTACAGATTTCTGTCTAGTTTTCATTTTAGCAACCTTTGCCAGCTTGTAACACCTGCACATTTTGAAAATGAACCACAAGATAGGGAGAGAAATTTCTTCTCAAATCTTAAGATAGATAACTTGTGCATCAAGTATTTTAAGAGCTGATAAGGCAGTTATAGCGCTCCTGAAAACTTTGGAATATTATAGTAAAATAAAAGTCAAGAGCTACAAAATGCATTTGGTGCATATGTATACATGAAATTGTTTGCTGGCACCTACCAATCTATATAGAGTAACCGCCTGCAGAAGGATAATCCAAGCCAGTGCCATTTTCCATATGTATTTCTGATTTCTGAAATAAAACATGCATTTCTAGAGACTATTTTTCTCTAGCTGCTTTTTTTCTAGTCAAACCTCCATTAAGGAATTCTGAACAATTTCAATCTTTTTGGAAATGGCCTCACAGCATCTGTGCTTTCTTGCACCTATCACATAAGCTGGAAGCTCAAACATCTGAAGCTGTTGCAACATACTCAAGGAATCAACTACAGCTGACTCGTTCCCATAATTGTAGAGAGGAGTTAGAGACGAGTGGGACTCTGAGTCTCTTTTTATATGTTGTTGTTCTTACAATCAGATATCTAAGTAGTTTTGACTTGATTTAAACTTTTTGTGGGATTATTATTTTTCTTAAGTTCCAAGGGATCTGAAAGATTTCTTCAATTCTACTGCTTAGCATTATTGTCTAGAGTTAAAGGAAATGCTAGTTCAATCCATGTTTTAAATTTAGCAACAAGTTACATGTTCAGAGAAGTTAAATCTTGGGTCAACACTGCCTCTGTAAATGGCTTCATTAGAATTGCATGGAGTAGAGAAACAGTCATCCAAGACTCTTGTCTCCCTGGATCTTAGTTGCCTTCAAATTCACACAGATGACACGCTACAGTACAAGACAAAACAACATGCAGATATGTAAGTCTGTTCACCTATGTACAGGTAAAGCCAGTGGTTTCTTAAAAAATTACAGACTGACATACAGAAATGGGCACACACAACTGCATCTTTATGTGTATCAAACAGGAGATGTTTCCACTGCTATCATTAGCATAACAATATAATCTATGCATGTTCAAGTCATCTTTAACTATGTAGATCAGGTTTTATAACTCTTTTAAATAAGGCAATGCAAAGCTTCAGGCAGGGCCAATACTTCAACATACAGACAACCACAATGAGTTCCAGACTACCCTTAGATTGGGCCTGATATTTAATTTAGCTGGTTATAGTTGAGACCAAATTTTTAGTTTGATGCTTTAAACCCTTATTCAGTAAAGAACTCATCAAAATGTCAAAAAGCCTAAACTTTAAGTACCGATTTAATTCAAAATTAATTGTTTCCTGAAATCATAGACAGTAATTATGTACTGCATTTTTCACAGTTTTCTTCCATAGACCATTTTACTTTTCTGCATATACCTTCCTCAAGGGATCAGAAGAACTCTAGGGTTTATCCTTTGTCCATGTTATTGTTCTTTATAAGCCTTTGGCTCCCAAATCAATTGTTCTTCCTTCTTTACTGTCTTTTATAGGTGTGGGGGTTTTGTGGTCGTGAAATTTACTGGTGTCTAGTGAAATGCACTTCAGTGTGTATGCTTGGCTCATGAACCACATCATGAAAAAAGAGGAAACTTTAAAACAGTGATCTGTTTACAACAGTATACTATCTACAACAGTACTGCTAACACAGAATACCTTCCCCTACCCCAAGAAAACAGCAAATGTTTAAAGGATTTAAAGGTGAAAAGTACCATGCAGGTGTATTATGATCACAATCTGATGAACTAGGAATGGTCAAATGGTTTTAGAAGTCAATGAACATTCATAGTTACTGTATTATGTTCTTGTCACACACAAAAGTAGCGTTTACAAACAGCTATACCCAAGGAATCAACAAAAGAAAGAATTAAAGGAAAGAACATGGAGCGGGTGGACTCTTCTTCACAGAAACTAAGAGGGCATAAAGTGACTAATAAATGCTTTTTCCATACAGCAAATATCATTGACTACTATAACTACATTTTAACATTTATGTTTTAAAATAAGTATAATTTACAACTACTGTGCAGTTTCCCTTAAAGTTTTTATCAACCAGACACCTAAAGAAGTTATTTTATCTAATGTAATTACAGATGAGATTCAAGTAAAATATTAAAATAAATCCTTTACCTGATAAAATATATTTTAATAGTGAATTCAAAATAAAAGATTTGTCCCTTCCTACTGCCAGAAAATGTCAAGAAACAGTATCTTCTTTGAAGTTGTAAAACTTGCCTAAAAAACAATGAGAAAAGTATCTTACTACAGAATTACTATGCTTCTTTCAAAGCTCAGTAGTGACTGAAATAGAATATATTATTTTATGAATTTTCTTGCACACATCTTACAACACCAGAGTAGCTGAATTATTTATTTCAGAAGAACTCATACATATAAGCATGATTTTAGAAAGTTCACATGCAACCAATTGTGATAAGAGTTTGTATATTTTAGTATCACTTCACCCAACTGCACACAAAAAAACCTATTTAAATTACAGAAAAGCTTACTGGAATGTTGATTTTAGCATTTTTTTTTCTAAATTCCACTTTGTAAAAGTAACAATAAATCTTTAAAAATTTTAACCCAAAATACTGATTTTTTTTTTAAAAGGGATATTTGTGGAACTTAAATATAAAACATTATAATTTTAATAAAATACAAAATGCCTGAACATTTTCTAAATAGTCAATGTTTCTAAAATATTATGGAGTTGATTAGTTGTCATAAATTTAACACAGGTTCCCTCTAATTAAAGTGGTTCACAAAATAAATCAACAATTCCCTAGTGCAATTGTAAAGAGAAAAGATCAAAAGCAGTAAACCAGTATCTTTCCTTCCAGTGTTAATTGGTAATTAAAAATCTTATCTTCATTAGTACCTATTCTGAAATAGTTTGATTTTTTTTTTTCCCTGAGGGAAGGGGATGTTACACAGACAAATACTGCATGAAAATCATGAAAATTTACCAGTTTTGAAACTGCTTGCCTTCATCACAGTTAAAAAGGGATATAAGACTCCATTATTTTCTTTTAAATAAGCACCTTAGACCTCAGCTTTCATTTGGTCTTGAGTTGCATGTACTACAGAATTCTACTGGCCAAGTAACATCCTTTCTCTATGACAGTTCAGATATTTTTATTTCTACTTAAAATTATCAGACATATTAGAATCCATTCTTTGGCATAGTATTGAAGTTGACAGCTCTTACTATTTGAATTGACTGCAAATCCTAAAGAATAATTTCCTGTATTTGAAGTAAGAGGGATAGGACAGGACTTGTCGCCGTTTCAAGACCAAGTCGATTAAATGAATGTCCCTTTATGGATTTCAAGTGTCTTCCATTTGTAATTTACTTGAAGTCTTCAGTACTGATTCCATTTTCACTTGCATTATCACAGCTGAATATTTCCTGCATACAAGGTAATCAACAGTATAGCAGTAAACCCTGTCAGTAAACCAGCATTCTGAATAAGAAAGAATGTGAGATCCATCTTTCTTCCTGTCACTTTCTCTCGCAGCATATCGTTCATCTCTGGGAACTGAAAAAAGGAATATTTTTAGGTAAGTATTGCCATCTCGTGGTAGTGTGCATAACTTAAGGTATTAAAAACTGAACCATATTGACTTGGGACTGAGTATTAGAACTAATAGAAAGTGCAGGCCGTCCCAGGAACAGGTCACCCCAACTACCCTGAAAAACCACATCACTAAGGATTGTAAACTGAAATATTGTTTTGTTCCTCTCTAATGCATCTCTCATGCAAATTTCCTCTTTTTGATTCCAGCAGTTTCATAAGGTCCAATTGTTGTCTACATGTTGCTAGGGGCAGCTGCCCTTGTATTGCTAAATGTTGTGTTTCTTCCTTCACTAGTACTAACAGAGAAATCCTTGTTCAGGAAATGGAAGATTAGGATTCTCATGATTTATCTATAAGTAAACGAAGTGAAGCTGAAAACACAGACAACCCCTTAGAAGTAAGAAATCTGTTACAAATAGGTCTGGTGGGCTGATGAGGAAGTGCTAAAGCAAGGAAGAAGAATAATGTTGTAAAACTGGTGGTAACACATGCAATATTAAAATACAGTGCAATGAAGGGATTCTTCATTCCATAACATGCATCTTAATAGTAACATAATACAGAAAAAAACCCCTACAGAAACAAAGATACTTCCTCTGAGCCAATGGAGGTGATGGCAAACACTAGCGATAAAGTCTCCTGTATGGGGTGATTTGGGCTATGGGTTTGCTGCAGATAAAGTCAACTGCAGTGGATTTTGACAAACATACTCAAATAAACTTTAAACTCTTCTGTTGCTCTGAGAGTAGTATAGCCAGAATGCAATGAAGACTGTATATTTCAGCATTAGGTTAGAAACCTTCAGTCTGGGTGACTCGGAAACCATATCTTTCTTTGATCTCACAAGGCAAAAACAGCCCTTGAAGGTAATGCAATTCTTGAAGAACAGACTAAGGTTAGCGAGAAGCAGCCAAACCTTCCCAAAAATGACTCCAGAACTCCGTAATCCTCTTGCACAAGAGGCAAAGACAACAAACCAGATCAGCTTCATGCCATACAGCAAGACTCATTTGTGCACACACCTCAGTGTACACATTCTCACGTGCCCACAGCCTCACCACACAGTGATTTTACTGGCAGAGGTTGGACTATGCCAATACTAGAGGAAAACAGAACAGCAAAAAGAAAAGGAGGAAAGAATGACATTCTAGTTAATCCTACCTGCTTCTGGACAAGCAAACCAGAAGTGTGTGAAAATCATAACAGAAAGTGGAAAGCCAGATCTCTGTACAGAGCACTTGAATACCCTATTTCAGACTTTTCAGGGGGAAGAAAAATTCAGATAGGTAACTGATAACAATCCAAATACCTAGAAAAAGAGAGATTGGGGAAGAGGGGCAGGGAGAGAGACAGAAAGAAACAGAGAGAACAGGACAACAGATACAAAGAAAAGCATGTTACCTACTTTGATGGATTTAATAACAAATTTAAGTTGAGCCACTCTAAATTTATGCCATGAGTTTTATACATCATAGGTGAGTGCACTACTATTCATTATATGAGTGAAAAATAAATGAAAAGCATTAGCAATTCAGGTATTGCAAACTTGTAAAATAAACTATTTATATTGTTCATTTAACATTATTACTTATTAAATCCTACATTATTACCTAAATCATAACAGTATTTAATGAAATAGTCACTATGACTATATGACAGTTCTGAAATGCATATAGAACCAGACTGGGGTCTCAAACCTTTCTAAATTCAGGCCTTGCTCTTCCAGTTTTACACACAAATGGATTCTCATGTGGCAGCTGTAAAGACCTTTGCAGTACATCTGTTATTACCACACTGAATTAAACATAATAAAACTTTAAAATCTTGAAAGATCTCTCTCATTTTCAGATAAAACATCATCATAAGAGTACATTATGGAACAATGATGACTGCCTGTGAATCCAGGTTTTATTTCCCAAGGTCTAAATCTGATCTGGATCTTAGCACAATTTCTTTGGCTTACATCTTCTAGCATACTTTAAAAAATAGACAGACTGTTCTGAATAGAGTTCAGCAAATTTTTTTAGTCTGAACCAAGAAACTGGGTCTGGCACTGTTAATTTAAACCAGAATTTAAGTCAGGTTTTTCACTTAAACAATCTCAAAATTATTAAAATCCCAAATTATCACTGTGGTCACACACCACCTTTCCTTCAACTCAAAACCGAGTATTTTGTTTCATTTTGTTTACCTATCTTTTCTTTCAAAATATGGTTTAAATAGACAAATAAACCTTTTAAAAATAATGAGGTAAAACACTTTTCCACTTTAAGATGCAGAAACAAAGTATTTATACACTTTTATTCTTTGATAAAACCAGCTCAAATTCATTAAAAGCTTGTCTCTCAAACTCTTCAGCAATAATCTGATCAGCCCTATTTGTGAAGTGAAAGGCTTTCATGTTTCATGAATAAGCATAACTATTTGTACATCTCTATTAAGGTTATAATTGGTGATTTAAGGTCTAATAATAATTAGATGACACTGGCATGAGAGGGTCAAAATACTAAATTCTACTGGAGAGACTTAGTGCAGTCTTTGTTTTCTTGCAGAAAAATAAATAACTGAAAATGAAATTATATCTCACCATATCTGCCAAAGAGATGTACAGGAACATTCCACCAGCTACAGCAAAGATGATGTTAGGAGCAAAGTTGTTGCCTACCAATATACCAAAAGCCATCCCAAGGTAACAGGAACATGCAGACAGAAAGTTGAAAAACAGAGCCTGCCGAGTACTCATTCCTGCATTAAGCAATATGACAAAATCCCCTAAAAGAAAAAAAAAAATCTTCAGAAAACAATACTGTGATTATTTTCTGATTTCAAAGGAAGTCTGAAGAAAATATATTATTTGTATATAAATTATAATCCCCTGGTTTTCTTCATTCAAGTAATTGATGAGGATTTCCCTTCAATACTAAAGAAACTGTAATATTCTAAAGCAAGCAGGTGATACACAATTGAACTAAGAGCACAGGAACACAGAACCACCTATAATGATGTAAAAAAATTAACAGTGTATGTAGCATACATGAACAGGGCAATTAATAGGTCTTTAATATATAAACACAGCTTCCACCCACCTGTGCTTGGGAACTTCCTGTGCTAGACATGCATTTTGGTGCTTGGGAAGTTTTTGATTTTTTTTTTTCCCCCCATTAAATTGTCTAAACTTTCTATCTATGCCAACTTTTGGGCAGCACAGCCTCCTACAACAAAGATTTCCATAGAAAACAACATGCTGAATGAAGTTTCTTACCCAGTTCGTGAGGAAACTCTTCACATAAGATGGCTATGGAGGTACTAAGGCCTTGAAGCAGAGACAAAGTGAAAGAAGCACCAATAGCCAAACCATCTATGAAATTATGTACAGCATCACTCAGTGTTACCATCCAAGCAATGGTCCCAATCTTGGACAGTGGACGCCCGTGAAGACACTTGCACAAGCTGCCTTGGGTGGCCTCGTCCTGAAAAAAAAAAAAAAACACAATAGAGCAATTTCATAAAACACTGAATAAAGAAGCCAGTGAATCACACTTCTGTCTTTAAATGAATGCCAAGCATAAAATAAAACACTGCTGCATATGAAGACCAAAATGCTTGGTCCAAGAAGCAAAAGGCATAAGTAGCAGCAGCAAACATTTTCTGTTTCAACAAGTTAACACGCAGGGCCCAATCATTTTTCTGACTACAAAGCTTTACCTGAATGCCCTTCAGCTGAGACAGAAAGCAGTTCTGACCATAGTGGTCCAAATGCCTCCCTGGAGTCTCTGTCAGATTAAGAGTGCCAAGGCTCCTCACAGCCTCCTCAGCGACCTCTATTAAGCATGTAGAGTCAGAAGGGTCTGATCACAGTGACTGACAGCATCTGTATTTCCTACCCAAACTACATCTGGACCAGTTACATACTGACAGTACATCACACTCTCAGAGACACACTCAGCCACAACAGCCAGGTATATGTGAATACAGACACACATCCAGATACTAAACTTTATTGCTAATTTTGGGCAATGACAGTCAAGTCCAGCTATTCAAATAAGTTTCTACAGAGCACATGTTTAATAAAAACAGCAGTGTGTAATTCTGACTGTGCAAGTTGAAGGCTCAGAGCATGAAAGCAACAAACTAATATTAAATTGTGATGCCCATACACACCAGGGATCTCAGTAACTCCTCCCAGAAGTAGAAGTAATTTATACATGAGGTGCCACAAAATAATGAAAAACTTGAAGTAGATAAAAGGAACTGCCATTTTAGCCTGGAGCACAAACTAATCTCCTCTAAAAAAGTCCTAATGATCCATTCTGATAAATTTCTGTACACACATGTACTGTAGTTACACAACATTTACAAGAATTATAGTATATCCCCCCCTAAAAAAAAAAAAAAAAAAAAAAAAACTTACTGGAATACATAAGCAGTAATATATACATGTTAAGCAGTAGTATATACATCTGTGTGCCCATAGACATATTTATACACTACTTCTCTTGCAGGAGAAGGGTGTAAAATACCAGCTCTTCCTCCTTATGAAAAGGTCACAGATTACTACAAGCAATTTTCCTTAGTTATTAAAAAGAACACTGCAAATTTTTTTAGTTTTGCCATATCAAATGCAAACACTACCAGGCAACTAAATTTTGAACTTCATGGAAATATAATGATTAATAAATTCTTACAAAATCTTTAATGACAGAGCAGTAAGTTCTGTCTGATGATTTGCTCACCAGACTCTTATCTGACATCCTTGTATGTAGGAGCTGCACTGGAACAGGACAGGAATTTGAGTCATATGCCTATTGCACCACTTGGAACTCGTAACTAATAACACCTTGGTTGAGTAGTGCCACAACTGCCACAAAGCACACTTATAGCTCCTATTCAGTGCACAGGAAGCCCTGAAATAATACTTCTATGGTGTGAAAATGAGCAATGGATCCAAAAATTGGAGAGTTTCCCTGATGACTCAAACACACAGGCTTTAGACTTGTACTACATGCTTGCCTTCAGTTTTTGGAGGTTTTCCTCTCAACATTTCATCTAACACACAAGTAATGCCAATCATATTTTGGGGATGATTAATTTGTACCTATACTAATTTTGTTTGAGATAGGATCACTTATGAGTAACAGACCTCTCAATCCACAAAAACAACTTGAACTTTACTTCAAGACAGAAATATTACAAAGCAAGACACATAAAATACATATATTAGGTAACTGGAAGTAAAAAGAAGTTTAAAAAAAGTATAAGAAAATCCAAATACAATTAGCAAAGCTCTTCCACCTATTCATCCAGCTCCCTGAGCTGAACTTCTGTTCCCCTACATTTTTCTTTGTTCACTGGTGACCATCCTTCAAGCTTTCTAAGAACTGATGGAAGTACTGTTTTGTAGATCGTCCTGATTTCTGCCAAAAGCACATCTTTCTTGGGCATGTTTCTAGCTTCACTGAGGAAATGGAGTTTGAGACAATGCACAGATTTTCATTTGAATAATTCATTCATTTAACTACAAAAAAAGAACACCGTTCTTTTGGAAACCACACACACACAAACCCCAACAACACCAGCAAGTATTTTCTCATAAAGCAACAATATTAATCTCAGAAGACTGTATTTTGAAAAGGTATATTAGCAACTCCTATTACACATAAGAAAGAGACATGGTGACAGTTTTTGTTCTGTGAAGACTTCCTACTACTGAAAAAAATCTCACATCAAATGCCAAGCATCTCCAAAAAATCAATGGTTTTATGAAAAGAGTTTATTAGGACGAAAATTCCTAAAAGAGAAATGAAAACACTGAGCAGATGACACAAAAGTGCAAAAATGTCACCTGTACATGCTTGCTTATGTTTGTTCCCATCAATGCACATTTGTTTTATGTGGGAACCATGTGTGTGCCTACACTTTTCTGAGGGCTGTGGGGGCATAACAGGCTTAGACACAGAACTAAGTAAAACACCCTTTTCTGGTACCAGCTGCACAGCTGAGAATTCCAATAACAGTCTTGAGCATTGCATATGTATGAAAAACATAAAAACCTGAAGGGCTTTTTTGTTGAAATAAATAGTTTACAAATATACGTGCTGAACTTTCCATGCATCTGTGAAGAAAATGAACACTGAGTAACAAGATGTTATTAAGAATTAGCTGTTGAATTAATCAAGAACAGAACTGACTCAAAATGTGCTGAGGTTTGGGTTGTTTTATCTATGTACTTTTAAAATTTTTTTAAGTAATTGCAATTAATTTAGGTGAACAGTATTGATTTAATTCTAAAAATTACTTTCTTCATCCAATCTTTCAAAATGCAGAACAACTGTAGTCTAAAAACTAGGAATTGGGTTTCTAGGAATTGGCTGTGTTTGCCCTCTCTAATAAGCTTTAGCTTACAAGGACACATTAAAATTCTATTAGGTATGTGTTGGCTTATGCCAAATGGTTCCTGCATAAACAGCAAATGCCTGTTAAGTTAAATGCATACCTACCTTCATGGCACTACTCTAACTGCCCCAAAATCCCTCAGACACCTTGGCCCTCCCCTGCCCCCTGATGACTCTGAAGGCTATCTGTCCCCTCTGAACCTGCCTGGAGAAGGAAAAGAATAATGATGGCTTTTTTGTTGATACCTCCAATATCAGCAGTGGGCTATCTGCCACTGAGACTTCCTTGCCACCAGCCTTGGCTCCAGAGTGAATTTTACACTGTTAGGAGGTTTTAATACAACATATTCTCTTCCCAGCTTTGGAGAAATGGAGGGAAAGAAAGAATGGAAAGCGTGAATTTTCATACGAACAATAAGTAGAGAAGAGCCTTTGTGAAATTTTATGTTCTTAAAGTCAAGACAATGTAAAAGATGTATGAGTATCCCACAAAGGATCTTGGGGTGACCTACAACACTTTATGATCACAAGCACTGCATCTAAACTAGTTGCTAGAAATGAATGCTATATAGTTACATTTTATTATTATAATACATGCTATGATTTTGTTGTGTTTGTTATGTGTAAGCAGATGGCTAGCCAAAATGTAATAATGGAATAGGTCCAGATAAAAATTCTGGTAAACAGGGCAGAAAAACTCTCATACTGACTGCCTCTGCCAAGAGTGGAGGGTTCTTCGGTATGTTTTATAAATCTACAAAATACAGTTTAGGGACATTTATAATATTAATTCCGTCTTGGTGCCCATGCAATTTTAATTACTAAGCATGCTTCTCCACCACATTTGTATCCACGACAATTCATGACATTTCTACAGCAAGGACAGGTACAATTTTGGTACTTTAAACTGTGTGCATCAAATGCCCTGGTGAACCTGCAGGGTCAATGCAGATCTCTCAGATTCTCTCCCGGCTGATAGGGCCTGCCTCTGCCTCCTCACCACAAACAATTTACTGTCTAAAGAACATGGGTGGTAAAACAGAAATCTCTACTATAAAAAAAAATCTGCCTTAGCCATCAGTGAATTGTTTCTATGTGTTCTTATTTTTTTAAAATAAGGGACAGTATTGCTCCTCCCAGTACAAGGAAAGAAATAAAGAAGGACACCAACTTTCTGCTTCTGTTTTCTTCTCAGACAGAAGGAAGTTGTATTTGTAGTATAAAAATGAACGCAGAGAAACATAGAGAGCAAATCTGAAAAAAGAATAATACTTAAACCAGGAGGAATGGCTTCTGTCTCAACATATTACCTCCATAATTTCCACAGTATCCAAATATACCGGACTAGCACAAGCAGTGCTCACAATATACTGCATGAAAGTTACTGTATTAGTTTTCTTCATTAATCATCAATTTGGAGGAATCAGGTTGTCACACTTTATGTAGTCAGGAACACAATATGTATCAACACTAAAACACACTATCACTCTTTAAGCAAAACAGTATCAACAACATAACCAAAATTAACTGAATTATCTGAATATATACCTCTGTTGTACCCATTCCAACACTGATATCAATTAGCTCTTTTCTGTTGGCTACATTGAATGCATCATTCAGCTTCTGTAAGTTTGCCTCAAATCGCCACATTTTTTTCATAGGGCTCAAGCAAGCTCTAAACTGTAAATTTACAAACACTTGACAGAAGTAATAAAAATTCATATTAACTCTCCCCTCAGATAGGCTTAACATGATTGGCAGGGATAAAATAAGTAACACAATTTTCATACCTGTGCTGAGACCACACTGATGCTGTCAAAACCAAGATTTCCATTGCTCTCTATGACAGCTGAATTTGCATAACACGTGCCCCCATTGATGGATGATAGTGGTTTGGGCGGGTTACTCTTATCCTGAGAACAATTCTGTTCACCATTTTCGGAGTCATTATGGCCAGTCTAGATTAGACAAATAAATAAAAAGGTAGCTAATTAAAACAAAAGTAAAATAACAAACCTAAGAAAATAGAGACCAAAAAGGAAAAGGTGGGGGCATCCTATTCATGCTGCCTTGCTTTCAACACCAAGTAAATGTTTAAATGGGCTGCAGTAAACATTTAAATTAACTCAAACGTATCTAAGTACCTAACTTATCTCTTAGTTAATCAGAATACCTGTGGGGATTTTTCATTTTTATACCTTTATACAGAACCTTCCAAGCTGAACACCTGACCATAAGTGATAAACATCTGCTACTTATTTACAGCTGCCTGTCAAATAGAGCTTATCAGACTTTGTCAACTGTTCCCAAAAATGAAGTGGGACAAACTAATTTTCCCTTTTTTTTTTTTTTTTTTTTTTGTGCAGTTATTACAAACAAGGGCCAGTTGATCTTCATAATCTTCAATATCAGCAACATTTTGGGAAGAGGGACCTTAAGTGAGGTAAGAGTAGGAAGACAGGACAGTTTTCATCACAAGACATGAGCAGAGAGGACCAAAAATTTTGAGAGGGCCTTCTCAGACAAATTCAACCTCTCTCATCTGAGTACACAGAAAAGTACTCAGATGTATGAGTAGCAAGCAGAGCACTGTGCAACAGGGATAACTGCAGTGTCACTAAAGCAGGTCTGTGTATCAGAGCATGGGGAAACACAGAGCTGAAGTTACTGAAGGTGAGATTCAGGCACTGTCAGCACAGTTACACTTTACAGATGACTAAGAAGGCATATAAGTCACATTGATTTCTCCTGCCCAAAGTGGAGCTCCAGGGGCAGACTCAAGTCTTTCCAGCTCTTACATATTTCCACTTTTTTTCTGATGTGTTTATCTAGCACAGCAACAACTTGGCCATTGTGAGTGTGGTCTGCTGTCAGTTGCTCTCATCTGGATTCTATTCCCAGCTCTGCTTATAACCCCCTCAAAAAAGTGACATTGCTTCCCCTATCCAAAAATACAGATTTTAAACAGATATTTCAGAACATATGGTAAGGCTGAATTCCTCAGATAAAATGGAAGAAAGCCCACATTGTATTAAACTATCAAGTATTTCATAAACTATAACATGTACTTTAAGGCAAGGCTCGTTCAGTTAGTGATATGTTTTGTTACCTGGTTATAGATCTTCAATGTCACTTTAAGAATCCTCTCCACAAAGAAGAGAATATAGAATCCACCAAAGACAGCAACTGCTTTCTCAATATAATTATCTACTTTCGGGTCAAACCCAAATGCCTAACAGTGAAGAAAAAAGCAATGCATATTAGTTTGCAATCTTAGTACATTTCCAGAAAAACAAACACACACAACCCCCAACAGGTACTCCTCTAAAATACAGTCTCTCTACTGACCATGAGTTTCCATGAGGCTGAAATTACAAAAGATACTGATCTTTTAGATTATTTTTTTAAATTGGATTAAATGTTAACAGTGTTTTAATTTAGTAGAACTTTTTTATGTGGAATGTAGTAGCAATGTGCAAGATGAGGAGGGTCTAACCTGTAGCACATTAAAGTTCACTAGAATTTTATCCAATGCATTTCTCTTACTGTCTAGAGGCAGAACAGTCCTTGGTCTTTTGCATGGCACAACTAGACATAGATCTTAATGGCTCTGCTCACCTAGTCAGAAAGAGATGGTAGCTAATGGCACTGAAGCCCGCCCACAACTCTTTGGAGATTGCAACCCACATGCAGAACCCCACTGCAGCATGCTTCTAAAATTAATACATTTTAGTAACTGGTATGCAAACCAAATAATGATTCCCTTTGCTTACCTCTGGAATGAGCTGAAAAATTGCATTAGAAAAAAGAGTACCAATGGCCAAGCCCACAAAGTAGGTTAAAACCTTGGGAAAATATGACTTCTTTAAGAGGGGAGTTAAAATCAATCCCAGAAGTGATGCCAAGTTAATGATAGTCACAGCCAGGAATCCAAATCCCCAAACTGTGGATAAACAAGCAGAAATAGAAAATATTTCAGTATAACACCCACTTCAGGATGTTTGTGATTTTTTTAACAGCTGGAATTTTTTTAATAGGCAAGGAATTGGGAAAAAGAATGGTTCCCTGGTTGAAATTATACTTCACAAATATAAAAATCTTAAAATGCATGGATACTTAAAATGCGTATCTAAGGAAAATAAGTATCTGGAAACACTGTCTGGGGCTACCATATTAAAAATGGAAACTGTGCTAGTGTGAGATCTGGGATAGCCTATCTGCTGCTAGTATAAATCAGGTGTCTCTACAGTCACTGAAGAGTAAAAATTAAAGGCTTAGGCCAACAGTCAAAGTAGCCATAGCACAGACATAAGAGAAAAATTCTAATTAGTTCCAGGGTTATAGATCTAATTGCCATTTACTCCTAAACAACCCAAAGATTGAAAGTCTGCTGTCTTGGCTGTGCTAGATCAAAAAAAAAAAATCCTTCCTGATAAAAGACGACTCCTTCAAATCATCTTGAGGTGGTAAATTTCTGTTCCTAATGCTCCTTCTCCTCCTCTAATGCAAAGTAGTTCTGCTGGCTAAAAATGCTGCCCACCACTGCTTATCCAACTGGTGAGGTAGCAGATAGCTGATAATAGAGACAATTATAATAGAGAAATTAAAGCATATAAAAAAAAAGATGTTCTAGTGATTTAGGTAAATAATGGGGAAAGCCTTTTCTAAGAAGTGGCAAATGCACCAGGGTTCACCGTAACTTAGCTTCCTTCATCATAAGCATAGTCTCAGAATTCTAGAGTTCAGATACCAAGACTTGAACAAAGCCATGCCATAATTATTCTGGATTCTGAATTACAGGTTGGGGGTGGGGTTGCTGTTCTTCATAGGTATCTCAAAGTTGTACCTCTACGCACAACTACCATTTTTCCCAGTGACATCTCAAGTCCCTGTGAGTACAGAGAAAAGCTCTAGAGGTTGCACTGAAGAGGTCTACAATGCTGCAATCAAACAATGTCACAGAATCACAAAGTAATCCACACAGAAAGTGGGCTTGTCTGTAAAAATTACCTACAAATAATAATCAAAGCCAACACAATGTTTGCTATATGAGAACAGTTTGGTATAATCCAGAAAGGTACATATTGTAAAGCTTATAATAATACATGTAGAGAAGATTTCATAAACTCCTTTCTGCAGAGCAAAAACTAACAGATCAGATTACGATCTGCATCCTAACCTTCCTACAATACAATCGGCAAACACACTGAACTAGATTCCTCACCTGCAACTGAAATGGCTCTACTTTGTTTGCACAGTGTCACAATTTTTATATGTAATGAATTTTATATTATGTCAAGAACAGAAAGCATTAGAAACATTTAAAGCATTTGCAGAAGATAAATCATTGCCAACTAGAACATTAATTTGCCATTTTGGAGAGAGAAAGCCACACAACTATATATGGGTAGATCCATTAATCTACACAGGAGGTTAATTTCCATTAAAATAAATTACAACTGAACTTGTATCTTTTTGAAATCAAATCTATAATAAACAAACGAGCTTCCAATGCCATAATGAGTCACAAACTACTGTTTACAGTTTGGGATTACTATAGAAGCAGGAGTCGCTTTCAGTTTAGTATACAGACAACTCCTACACATTATTCTGTGCAATATGTACATTTTAAACTGAGTTAACAAAATAAAAACTATTTATCAGATATGAAGCATTTAGAGGTCTTGCCCAAATTACTTCATCAGACACAGGAAATTAGAACAAGTTTTTAAAATTACAATAAAAAAGCCAATAGTAATTACTTTTTAAAACAAAAGGAGGATAAATTTACAAATTGTGTGTGTAGATCCGTGGATATCAAAAATGATAGGAGAATGGAGCTTAAAATCAAGCACAGAAAAAGCAGTTACTGCAAAGTTTGAGAGAAGTTCTCACAATACTCTATGCTTCACTAACAAATGGTCTAACTTTCATGCTTGTACTCTTTGCTCAAAACAGCAAAACATAGTGGGACACAACTTGAAGTACGTGTTATAAATGATACAGTTGTCACCATTTTGTATGCTTAATGCAATGGGAGATGTCTCATAATGTACTAAAGGAACTGTGCTCACAAGTAGGTACATACTCTAATCCACTGGTATGTAGTATCCCCTTTTGTCACAAAAAAAAAAAAAGTACAAGGAAGAGCCTTTCTTATTCCTGATTTATCAAAGATTAGGGGTGACAAAATAAAGATGTCACTTTACTTTTATCTGTACTAAATCTGGATGGCCCAAGGAACTTGGGATTTTACATACTGATATTTTGTTTCTGATTTACTCACCCGAAGTGGAAGAATGAGGAAGAATTGAAATAATCGATTAAATAACCTCAGACAATGAAAGAATAAATTATTATCCATCCTAGGCATTTTATACATCCTGCAACGAGCCTCAGTAGTATGGAGAATAGCTAAAACTAGTGAAATTTTTAAAGGAATAAAATAATCTGAGATCTTTCTTAGACATTCTCCAGGAAACTCCTGGGCCTTCTGACAAGTGTTTTTTTGAGTTCAGAAAGACCTAAAGTGTAATTGGAAAGGAAACAAACAAACAAAATAACTACCACATAATTACAGGAACTGGTACTTCAAGAAAATTACCACAGCTTGGGGGGGGTGGAGAGGGGGAAGTGATAACATGGTAACATTCCAAGACAACCCATGTTGCCAAAGTTCCTGCTTTATACACTGTATTTCACAATATCATGCATGCACCACTGTCTTAAAATTGGTTTTATTCACTAAGACTCCATCTACACTAAGCTTTTCATGAGTCCATGCATCTCAAAGCTGACTAGTCTGACTTTATGTATCAGAGCAGGGATGTGCTAAAAACACACACTCTCTTCCCCCAAGACTGGTGGCATGGTCAGCTTTTGCCAACTACCATTATTCTTTCTGTCTCTATAATTATAGCCCCAACAAAGAGACAGCCAAGATATCCAAAGCCACAGAAGTCAAAAAAAAAAAACCCAAAGAAACCAAAAAACCTGACAGGAATGCAAGATGCCCCCTTCAGGACACCATTGCTCGGCACTGTTCCTTGTAAGAATTGGGGAGGAATGCTCTGGGCCTTGCTGAGGCAAGCTCAAGCTCTTCCTTAGCCCTGTCCTGGGATGAAGAGGAAATTAGGGTATGAATACCTTTCTGAAGAAGCCAAGCAGAGAGCACTGAATCTGTTCATCTTGGACAGAGAGAATGCCACTGGGCATTTCCAGCTATTTCATGCAGCTCTATACACCTCCCTATCATCTTTCAGAGAAGCAAGAAAGGGAGGCACATGAGTGTGTCTCAAAAGGTCAGTTAGGTTAGATATGAGTTATACAAACCCCAAGGCAAAAGACATGCTATATGCTGCCTTTTAACTTCTAATCTGCTTCGGCAGCATTTTTTTTTTTTTTTTTGCAAGGATCTGTCCCATAAAGCCTAATGTACTAATTTCTTCTGTATGTCTGGTCGGTTCATATTTTGGAAGACACAATATTGTTAAGTGTGTGGGAGTCCCTGGGCAGAAAATTCACATAAGCACAGCTGGAAACACACATAGAGGATTTTGCTTCATAGTCAGTAATTTAAATCAGCTCGTCTCAATTCTGCCACAATACAGATTCATTTTGTGATGGGGTGGGAGTGTGTGTAAATGAACATCTGCATTTGGCACCGGGCCTTTCAAAATAGGTACCACTGTGTGTCCCAGCCTCATACACTTGTGGTTTTAAAATACCCTAACCATGGGTCTTGCAGATTTCTTGCACCGCAGCCAAGAGAGGGGCAGAGAGAAGGCTGCCTTGCTTATCTGGCTACTGGACATTACTTCTGAGCTGGCAGGATTCAAAAAGAAAAAAAAAACAAACAAGTGGGATAGCATAAATAGCTTCAAAGGTTAACTATATGTCAAGATTTCCATGCACAACCTACTTAAACAGCCCCAAACAAACAAACAAAAAAACAAACAAACAAAAAAGAAAGACAGATCCTACCCTCCTGTGCAGATATTATGGTCACCTTGATGATATGTACCCTCCTCATGTGATATAAGCAATCTAGAACAACCATGGTAATTGATGCCATGGTTTCAGTGATTAATGAAATATAATTCTAATTATTCGCTAACACAGGTAAGTTTTAGGGATGATATATAATTCTTAATAATCACTTATATTAATCAGAATGTTACTAGTACTAATATTTCAAAAGTTAAGAAAAAACCTGCTGTATCTCTACTCATGAATACTGACATTAGGCACCTGCTCATCCAACATCCTAACTTCTAACTTTAAATCAGATTAATTCCTTGGAACAATAAATTTGTTTGGAATAATGAGTCAAATAAATAGGCCATTACATATTTGATCCTTACCAGTGCAACAAGTGACTTCATTAACCAGCTACATCTTCCCTGTCCCACATTTTTTTATTGCACTGTACAGTTCTGTGCACAGTAAGTACAGAAATAATAGTGAGAAAAATAAGAGAAAGCAAGATTAAGGCTACTCAGCCATGCGACGATGTTGCATGTGGAGGGGGCAGCACAGAAGGTGACATGAAAGCGGGAGTCAGAGTTTCATATTTTTTCAATATGAGCATTTTTCCTCAATAAAACAGTCACTGGCTCCTCTGATGTCATGACTCCCACCTGCAAATAATTCCACTCAAATGCAGTCCCCTAATAATTTTACTCTGAGTTGCCTTGATACATGCACATCCCATTAAGTCTGATTTCCCACTGCAAATCACCTGCACAAACTTCCCTTCTGTACTCCCATCTTCTCTCCTATTAACCAGCTATTTGCAAGAGTCCTTATGCTTCAAGGCACAAGCCATTATTCACGTAATGGACAAACTATTCCATAACTAGCTACTCAGTTCTTTCACCTTTCTTTAAAACATTCTTAATAGATCACTGTCAGGAGACAGGATATTTGTTTACATAGCCCACTAACCTGAAACTGGATTTTATATTCCAACTTTACAACTATACTCTCCTAAACAAGACGTTCCTGCTAGGTATAGCTAAATGCTTACTATTCCCATAAGAAAACCCCACTCCAGTCACAGTATTAATGCAATTAATATTAACTAACCTTGTAAAGAATGTGGTTTAGACGTATCCAGAAAGTCTTCCTGATGATCGCACGGGTGAAAAATTAGCTGTTGCAAAACAGCAGGACATATCGTAGGGAAGCTTGAATTTGATACATGACTGTTGTTTGGTATCCCATGCAAAGAAAAAATTTCCTCGCCAGTCAAGCACTGAAACAAAAAGGGATTTTGCCAACTTAATACATTAATGCAAAACCACAATTGAAGACATACACTTAGAAATCCAAGAATTACAACAGGATAATACCGTAATTCATTTTCAAGGAAGTGCACACACTGTTTGTATGCTGTGCATGAAAACACTGTGATCACTTAATGTGAACAGAAGTGATTCAAAGTATTTTAAATAACATAAATCACAAACAAGTGAAACATATTTTAAATGGACATTTGCAGATCTTATGCCCTATGAACCAGGACAGTTAAACTGCATGACTTATTTGGAAAAATAGCTTCAAAGTAATTAAAATCTCATGTAATTACAAAATAATTAAATTTAAGAGCAGACTAGACATAGGTAAAAATCTCAGTGACAGAGTATGTCAAAAAATGTTTTCTAATTCAGTGACTGCTTATTCATGTAAGTGACCACTTCTACTTTGCAACAATGTCTATTTATCTCCCCAAATTAGCTGTTTTAAAATGATCTAAATATTAGCAGCACTCAACATTTTTCATTAATTTTTATAGCAATAATTGTTGCCAGCAAACATTGTTCTGTAAAACCATCCCATACTCCAATAAGATAAAGTTATTTCAGATCTTCACTTTGCCCTCAGCTCAGGATGTACCAGTATCTAACACGTCAAGGATAAAATGTACTTAGCAGTAGGCTAAACCAGACCAGGGTCAGGGCTGGTTGCTTTGTTCGTTATTTTCAACAAAAAAAGATAAAAGACATAACATGAAATACCTTCAAATATACATCCGCAGAAAAAATGAGTATTTTAATATGGAATATTCTATACCACTGTAATCTTTCATCTAACACTTTCTGTTTATTCACGTTCCCTACAATGATCGATATGAAAAAAAGTGTTATTTTTGGGGTGTAAACAAAAGTGATTTGGCTTATTTCTGTACACAAACACATACCAAGGCTGAGTCTCAAAAGACAAAAAGTCAAATGTTTTCTTTCCATATGAGAAATTGTTAAAGCATCACCCTCCCTGTAGCAAATCTCAGTCTGGCTGCAAAAATAGAGCACTGGAAGCCTTAGCAAAATAAAAACAAATGGTCACTCCCTGCACTTTGCAGTTTTGCTAGCCTTCAGATTCCACAGCACTTCTCCAATAATTCAAGATTATTATTTGTAAAGCAAATTCCTTCTAGAGATAAGCCAAAGCAACTGCAAGCCATTTACTTCACCAAAGCTGCTTCCACTTCCCGTTAATAAATATTTTTCTAATATCGTCCAAAGGTGAAAGGCATACACACACCATTTGAACGTGACTATTTCTGATTTAGCTTGGAAGAAGAGAACATGCAGACCAATTCAAGTGACTTTTAGATTATATCCAGGATGTTTCTGTCCTTCCTCTTTACTGAGCCAGTCTAGCAGAACACTTAAGTACATGCTTGTACTTAAACATAAGGATAAATTTTGTTAAGGCCATGAGACCTTGAAGACTTGCATATACTTTTATCTTTCGGTGTCAGTGTTAACGTCAAAGTATCACATATAAAATAAACATAGCTTGATAACAGAAAATGTTTTTCTGTTTTAAAGCACGTTGCTCCATTTAAGCTCAATGGAAATAGTGCGCAGAGAAATCATCACTGAAGATAGAGTCTTTAACAGCCCAATATGTGAACCTCTAGAGCTTTCTGAACCAGTTATGCACCTAATCATTTTACCGCTAACTCTGTATCATGGAATAATGCAAAATACATGGCTAATATGTCCAGTGTGAAACAAAGACAGGATATTCGGGGTCTACAGGAATAGTTCCTATATGGTACTTCTTGTATTACTGTCTCATAGAGCCATTTCTAGAAGTCTACAGTGAAAGCCCTTAGAAAAACAAGCCAGTAGAAGCTGAATATTCATAACATAATTATCTCTGAGACATCATCTTTAACTATCTCGTTCCTAGAAATACAGAATGGATTACTAGTATTTTAAAATACTAATATATTAGTATTAATATTAGTTCACAAAAATCCAAACCATGTTGTAGGAAAAAAAAAAACAGATTATGGGAAGAAAATAAATCAGACACAGCATGAATTAGTAAACTTGAGACTTAGAACTTTTGCTACATACAAACAAATAAGCAAGAAATACCATCAGACAAGAGCTCTTTTACGTGAAGATGAGAAACAGCATTTTATTTAATTACTATTATTATTTTGATCAGGGACAAACCCAGAAGATAATGATTCCTATAAATGATTCATTGTTATAAGTCACCCCATCCTCTCAGTAAACTCCTACATACATCCAAGAGCTAAAAAGCAAGCTTGCATGAGTTCACTGGCACAATTAAAGGATTAATTAAAAGATTAAATCTATTAGAAGCCTTGGATTGGAGCAACTCATGTTTGCACACTGCAAGCTCTGCATTTATCTTTGGAGGATAAATACATTAAGACAGCCACACTGCTGTAAAAACATAAGCTATTTATTTTGTAAGACTGACGGATGATCTCAGCAGAAAGGAAATTTAGCCTCATGGAGCAGGGGACTGAGAATGATGTCCTGGTTCACCAAGTCTACCGTCATATCTGCCCCCCACTATTCAGTAAGTACTATCATAAAGATTAGGTGAGGGGACTGGCTGCAATGTGACTCTCACCCAGTGTTAACAAACATTGCAAAAAAGATATGACATAAGTGATCATGTCCCTGAACTGTTAAAAAAAAACCACTGAGCTTTCCTCAAAATTGGCAAGGACTTAAATCAGTACAATTTACACAAACTATTCAGACTTAAAAAAAAAACCAAACCATCAACCAGGTTACTCAAATAGATGATTACTCTTCTTCCAGTAAGGCTCTCACAAAAATGATTGACCAATGTGGGACTTTTTTTTTTTTTTAATGGTAGACAAAATAAAGTGATGCCCAGCTATCTAGAATCTCTTTACACTAGTATCTTTATAAATGACAATCAGATGCCAGCTCACCACATCCTTTGAAGAAAATGATGGGATAATTGCTCAGACAAAAATAACTCAGAAGGGATCTCTAGCTGGACAATTCACAAAAAAATGCTACAGTAACTACTATTCTGTAAATGCTTCCGTTCCTTTTCTGATCTTCCGCCAAGTTCTTATCTTTGCTCTACCTTTGCTTTATCTGTAGCATTCCACACATGAAGTACTGAGATACCCAACAGCAACCTGGACCGTAGTTTCTAAAAGCTGCCAGATTAAATACTAGCCTATCCCGCACCAGGGGTGAGCAGTGGGGTCATACAGCAAAGAAAGAATGCAGTGAATACCTATCTGACTGGCATTTTTTTTTTTAAATTAGCCTGAGCCTGGATAAGGCAAAATAGAGACATATGACTATGTCTTCCACAACTTACTTGTAACAAATGAAAGCACCTAGTGCTGACATGGCGACACCTTTTTGTCACTCCGCACAGGTGAGAACTGGATGCTAGGAGATGACCGTGCCTTCAATAAGCAGCACTCCATGAGAAAGTCAAACCAGATAAAGCTGCTTGAATGCACTTGTGTGCTTCAGGCATTTCACACACACCTCAACATGTTCAAGGCAGCTGTTCATGCTGGGAGCTGAAAACTGTCCGTGGATGCCGAAATTTGCTGAAGGTGCTGTAGAAATCAGACACTTAGAGGGCAGAACAACTAAGCCAATTTATCTTCTCACTGGCCAGACAACATCAGATTGTGGTGTTGGATCAATACCATAAGCCACACTCTGACATATCATCCCCCTTCTTTCAAAAAGCACAAGTTGTAACTAGTGAACTATTACCAAAAAAACTCCAGAATCAAAGAACATACTAGCCTGGTTCTAGTCTATCTGAAACACTAAAGTTACTAGGTTTTGACTCACCCTGAGGTGAAAATTAATTATTATCTGATTGTGAATATTAATAAAGATTTTAACTTCATTTTGTGCAAATGTTTTGTTCAAAAACTAAACTGCATTATATGAACACACAGTATTCAGGCATAACATCTAGACACAAATATAGCTTTAGATAAGTCAAAGGAGGGAACTGGAACATAATTTTAGCAGCTAGTGATTACATCAAAGCATAAAATAAAGGTGATAGTTAACAAGCTTTTTTCCCAATGCCCATTTACCTTCCATGCATTTTTTGAATATGTCATTAAATCCTTCAGCACACACATGTATGGCTATCATACTACAATGAAACCAATGACAGAAATTCATAGTTTCATGGGTTTACATCTTGCTAATCATGTAAAATACAGAGTGAATAAACATGTCAAGATCTATTATACTGAAATGGCTAATTTTATCCATATTCGTAGGACTAAAATGTGTAGGAATTCCACAGTAAAATGTGAAAAAACAGCAGTGATCAGTATTTGAGTTTGCTCGGTAACTATTTAGTTCTCTGACAGGGAGTCCTAGCTTATATATTAAGAAAAGGTGATAACAGAAAAATGGAAGAGCAAAGAAAACATAAGCACAAAATAAAGGGAATTATAAAAGTGCATGATAAAAGAAAAAAAAAAAGAGAGACCAAAAACATAAGGAATTGAAGGCAGTTCAATGAAAAATTCCAAAATGGTACTCAAAAAGTGTGTTCTTTGTTGTATTTTACAGGAAAAATAATTAGCACCCTCATGGACTCCACAGGACATAAGTTACCACAGATGCCTGTACAAGCATACATTCAAACACCATCATCAACAAATTAAATATTTATTTTCTTTTCCCCTATCTTCTCAAGTCAACCTAGTATCAAAGAAACCAGAAATCAAGCATCCATCTTCTGGCTTACACATCCAGACTCTTTCAATCTTTAAGAAAATGGGATCAGCTTCTGGTGGATCTTCTCATGTGAGATTAATAGGCTTACCAAAATTGTTATGAATGAAACATTAAAATTAAACACTAGTACTGGCATAAAACTAAGACTGTTCCTTTCTGCCAGTATTTGAAGTGTCATATCACCTGCTCATTACAGATCAGCTCTCCACTAAAAATTACTTCAGGCTTGGATGAGGGACTCCCTGATAGAGCAGGGGTGTGTTATCTTGGCTGGAAGAAAGACCTGGGAGTCAGCCCACTAGTTCTGGACACTGAAGTTAAGAACTGAAAGTCTAAGATAAATCTTGTTTGTTCCCAAGCCAATATTTATGCATCTTGAATAGATTCAGCCTGAGAAAGACCTGAATCACCCTCCAGAGGTACTTATTTTGTTCGTAGAGAATCGGTAGAGCTTAGGCCTCTGACGCATTCCAACACATGAAGTTAGATTAGGTCGCTTTAAGTCTTCTGTCATAACCAGTAGATACTCTAAATTATCAACTTTGTAAACACAAAGTGTCACAGTATTTGAAAATGATCACATATGATTTATTTGGTATGAGTATGCATTTGCATGCACCACCTGCCCGAAGTCATGCACCTAACATCTACAAAGGATCAAAAGCCAGGAGATAAAGTGCACTTGCTTAAATGTTCCTAGCTGATGAAGCAGCCGTAAGGCCAGTTTTAGGAAAGAATACGAGTAACTCAGCAAAAAAGTATACAAATTTCAGTATGGTACCCTAGATATTATTCAACATGGACGCAACTAGAACAGGCCTGTAAAAAAACGTGTTTCAGTTAAACTTCATATGACCTATGAGGAGCATGCACTTACAGTAAAAAAGAAGAGCATTGCTTTTTTTTTTTTTTGCCTCTGTAGCCTGTGCCAAAGCCTGTCTACGAGGGCTACGTGCTTTTGCAGAGGGAAAATCTGAAGGACTGAAGAATCTAGTCGTTTCTATGCCCTTCTAAAGAAAGCTCCTTTTCATAGCCACATTCAACACCGCAAACTTGTATTTAACATGTGTGGCTGGGGAATGTTTATGTTTTTAATACACTGTGTTGGAACTGTGTTCAATTTGTGAGATTTGAAAGCAGTGACTCTCACAAATATTGCCATGCTTATACTGAATCCTACATTGATTTTGGTGGCATTAACTCACAGTTAAACCTCCGGTAAGGGTAATGACATCAGAATTGCATGCTTTCTAAAACAAAGGGAGCTTATTTAAGGTTTGTCTCACAGAGCAAGCAGAAGACCTACTACTCCAAACGTAAAAAAAAAAAATTCTCAAGGTCCCTAAAACCATGCCTGTTCAGTTCCTTAGGGAGTAGAACCAAACCAGAGCAAATAGTCATTCCTGCTTGCCTTTCATTTTCATGACTGACTTCTTGTCCCTGATTCCTGAGCACAAGGAAATTTCCACCAGCCTCAAGATTCTCCTTCAAGGAAACGAACTTAGTCTAGGACACTACAGAGATGTGAAGTTACATAAGACTTTAAGAGTAGGTCTGAGTTTTGTATATGGAGACACTAAACAGAGTAAAATATTTTCATGGAAAGCAATATTCCTGTGATATTTAGACAGTAAACTAAACATTTTAAACAGCTTTTAGTAGATTGATGGTTGTATGCTTTGTACTCAGATGAAAGGTGTGAAAAATTCTGAAAAAGTTTCTGTAAGTCAGTAGACCTGTCTACAACGAAGTTCGTGCTACTGCATCACAGTTGTATTTAACGAGTCCTGAAGATTTTCTTATGCAGCCCTTGCACGGAAACACCAGCTGACTCCCATACACTTTCTGCTGTTGTCCAGACGCTATTTATCAAGAAAAAGCGTCAGTTTAAGAGCTGACCAACTTAGAGCCAGAGCTAATCCCGCGGGCAGCCCCCGCACCGCAGGTCGAAGCAGCTCACCGACGGCTCGGCAGCTTCTCCCCTGCCGCACGCTGGGTTCACCTGTAGACCGGTCCCTTCAGCCGAGCCCAGCGCCCCGGGAGCCCTTTCTTCCCTCCCGGCCTCCCCGCTTCACCGTGAGGAAACACGACGGCGACGAGGAGATTTAAGCGGCTACGGCGCTGCCCGGGCGGCTCGGCGCCCCGGTTCCCGCCCGCGCGTCTGAGCGCAGCCCTCACGGCCCCACCACCAGGAAATTAAAGAAAATTCTAGAGAGTGCTAACAATCATATAAATTCTACTACTGGAAAACCTGTTACTCTCGACTGAGAGCCTGAAGAGCTAAGATAACTTTCATGCTTCCCTCATAATTGGTTGGTGGCAGCTAAAACAGTCCCGGCACAATTCAGCTGCAGGTTGTTCCAAATGACAGTCCCCATCTGCACTGGTTATACCTCCACCCTACCCACCTCTCCATTTATGAGCACATTTTGGGTCTTTTCCAGATAAATCAACACGAGATTTCCTTTGAGGCTAAGGGAATCGCAATGTTGTTCTTCAGGCAGCAGCTGTGTCAGAAGCAGAACTGGCATCTCCTATACTTTCTTCTTCAGTGTGTCTATTTCTGAACACAACTCTAGTAACAGTTGATTATTGAAGGCATTCTGAAATTTTTAAAAGTCTATATTTGAAAAGTACCTTATGACCAGCAGATAAATTGAAAACAACTGCAAACTAATTAAAACAGGTAAATCAAAACAGGTTGCTGGTTACATCAAAAAGATTTGCCAGTGCTTTGTTGTGCAGGGTCAGAGAGCTAATCTTAAAATTGATCATTTTAAGACTTCCTTTTTATCAGTAACAGAAACATAAAGGATTATTTGAATTAGTGTAATTAAACAAACTCATGTTTGCCTTAGTTCTTAGCCTCATATTTGCATAATTCTGAAAAGTTCAAGGAATTCCTGGATACTTCCATTAAGAATTATTCTCTGTTGACAATCCACTGCAGAATTAAAATCCTGCTCTGTTTCTGAGACAGCCAAAATTTTCCCTCAAGGAGTGATGCTTAATTTAAATGATATAAAAAGTTTCTAAACTGAGTGTTACTGAAAAAGGCCACAGGAGCTAAAATGACATACTAACAACAAGACCAGAGATCATGTACCTTTCAAACTGTATATATAGCACCTGAAAGACTGCTCCAGATTTTGTGTATATTCTTGTGATGTACAGACCCAATCAAAAAGTCTAATCTTTGTTCCTGTCAAGTCTGATAAAGCTTAGCCAAATACTAACAGAGACAAATTCTTTCTCAAACGGAAAGAACAATCTGTTTGTACACTGCAAACCAAGTATTTCCCAGCAGTACTTCACGGTCCTGATTCCCTATTGTTCTGTTCCCTGCTTTTCGTACACCTGTGTGATGTTACTGTCCCATTTAAACCACCACAAGGTGCCAGCGCACCAGATGGTGACTGGCAGTAGGCAAGACTACACGTAATCAGCTTTTCCAAACTTCTAAAGGGCCAAATCCTCTCTGAAGTGGGCTTCTCTTAGGAAATTCAGTGAAGCTGTAACTAATTACATCAAAGCTAGCATGACTTGTAATCGTGTTATTTACTTATCTCAAAGTCAGAAGAAGCCTATTTATTGTCATTCAAACCAATTGAAATAAACTTATTTGAAAATAGCAATCATAATTTTTTTGTTTGGCAGATAAAATATACACACCCATCCCTCCCTTGTATTCACATTTGCACCCTTTTCCTCTCCACTCTTAGCTGGATTAACTATTTAATAGGATTAAAAAATTATATCTTGTAACTAAACACCCTTGAATTAAATGACATATAGCAATAGATATTTCTAGGGGAAGTATCTAGATAGATATATAAAAATATTGGACTGACACCTATTTTCACATATTTTCCCTAGGTAATTTCTCTTCACTGTGATAAAGTGGATTCCCAGCAGTTCTGTTTGCTCATTTTTAACTTGGCCAGGCAGACTCAAATACTCACAACCACTATATTTTAACTTCCCAAACCTCACAGTCAAACAAATTACAGATTAACGGCATGCTAATAGATACTCAGTTTCCAATATTACCAGCTCAGGAATCTTGTAGTTCTCTTCAATTCTGGGCTCTTGCAAATACTGAAAGGGAAAAATTCAGGGATTAGAGCTCTAGAAACACAGTCAAAGGGTACTGTGAAGACCCAAAACCACAGCAGCCATATAAAAAACATTGTTTGGCTTCAAAAACTTAAGAAAAAGCCTGAATCTCATCAATCTGCAGGTCTTGACTCATTTTTGAAAGCTTGAGTTCATAGAAGCATATGTTCACTAGAAATATATAGCACAGTAGAAAAGTTTCTGAAATTACAGAATTAAAAGGAAACTTTCCTTTAAGGCACATTGGCCAAAATACCTTGTATCGGTACAGTAACATTCAAAGGGAAAAGCAGGATCTCAAGTTTTACACAAGAGTTTGATTCTGCTATTTTAATAGCTTAATGTTAAGTTACAAGTGCTAGGGGCGTGATATCAACCCCCAAGTACAAGAGCTATAATGGCATCACTATGGTAAATCATAACTTGCTTCTTTTCTGAGGCTGCACTATCAGAACCATTTGTGTATTGTTCACTATCCTGAGAAGCTTGGCTCCCACAAAAGGTTAACATTATGCAATAGATTTCACCCAGCAAGAGGTATTACTTGTTCTACAACACTCCACTAACCAGTTCATTAGCTCTCTGTGAAACTGTAAAATAGCCTGCTTCTGATAAGAGATGTGATCCATTTGCTCCTTAGGACTCAATATTGTTTAAGCAAGTATCTTTAAAGACAAAAATCTCTATAATAAAATTATCAAATTTAAATCTTCACTGCTTACATGTTCAAGTACTAATACATAGAGATATTTAAGGATCTTCAACCACAACAAGAGTAAGAGTTGTCTTTAATGGTGATGCAGAGGAAATTGTCTTCAGTTCATAGCTGCCAACTAGAAAATAAGTTTAATAAAATTCCACTAACTCTTTAGAAATATTATCTGTCCCCGCCTTGTCAGCATAGGGTCAAGATTACTCACATCATATTTCTACTGTCAAAGCTTAAACTTGTTTTGAATCTAAAGATTTGGTCTAGGGTCATCCCTAATTTTCAGTTGGTAAACAGGCTTCTAACTTATACATCCAGCAGCTGTTGGGCTACAGCTTTGAAAAGTATGAAGTGGGATAGTGCCTGGAGAACTAAGCCAACCTATAGCAGCTGTGGGTCATGACTCAAAGTACCCAAGATAGGTGTGCAGAGAGATGGGAAGTAACAAACTTCCTAAAAGAGCACTATTCACCGTGAAGACAAATACTGTTCACATTGCCTCGCATTGCTCAAATAATCTTTACCAGAAGAGTCATCTTCTGGACAAAATACAGCTCTTTTGCACTTTTTAGAAAAAAGCAAAACTACACATTCCTATTAGTTAAACTTCATTTTCTAACAAAGGGGAAGTTCAGCAGTTTGGAGTTCGTTTTCAAGGTAGCCTTATTTTGAACTGTAGCATTATAAAAAAGAAATTTTACATTTACAAATTCAAAGCGAAACATTTCAGTTGTTCTCCCCATGTCTTGCAAACACACTTTGAAATTTAAATTTTCTATTGTTCTAAAGTTAGATCAAAACCAAACTTAAAGTCTCAAAATCATTGATTAAACAATTCATGTTCTGTAGGAACATGCCTAGTAGTGACCTCTTACCTGGTGATGACCTTTAAATCCACCACAGGATCCCAAGGGAGGGTCAGTACATGACTGAAAGCTACCAGCTGGGATTATATTGACATATCTGCACTGAATTGTATGTATCTAAAGAACAAGGGTTACTAGAGAATAAAGGAGAAGCGGTCATATGTCAATATTAGTATGATTAGATAAGCAGAGTAGTGTCAGCAGGATGTCTGAGACACAACATGCTGGCGTTGTATTTTACAGGCTGGATTCTGCAGGGATCAAGATGAACCCTGTGAGACAGCAATACTAGACCAGCTGCAGGAGTCATTTAGGTTTTTTCCTCACAATCCAGTGGAAAAAGTGAGTAGAGTTTCTGGGGAGGGACCAAAACAGCCTTACCATCTCCCATTACAGGAGCCAGCAAGAAAAAAATTGTTCTTGACACTTTTCTAGATCAGTGGCCTTCAATAGATCAGTCCCTTTCTTTGTTTCTTGGAAATACAGCTGCCAAACATGCTTGAATAAGCTCCGAGTTTGCAAATCATGTCAGTATGCTTAGCACATCTCCAAAATAGGTGCTGTACAGACCCCTGGGATTAGCAAATATACATTGAACCCAGCCTAATTTTTCAACAACTGCCCATATGAGGAGAGAAAAGGTGCTACAAAGTAGAAGACATTTTACTCCAAAGGAAAACCACAGTTGTGGCTAACACTTTCCTAGTTTGTGATGCAGTGGGTTATCATACAGAATCAGGCCCTTCAGTCACTTCTCTTCTACACGCTTACTTAACACTGAGATTTTAAAAGTTCCAGTTAACAGACAGTACTCCATACCTGAATGAGTTCTCCAGTACTGTCATCATGCCAAGTTTAAATTCAGGATACGCTTAAAAGTGTGGTCCTTTAATCTATTAAAGTAATAGCCCCCAGATGACAAAGTTTTAAAATTTGAGACCTAGCTCTCAGTCAAATTTTAGCTCAGTCATTTTGGGGATATTACTTGAACACAGAAAGCATCTCAGGTTTAACTCCCTCCTGGCTATATTTTTGCATCTGACTGCAGATATCTGCAAGTAACAAAGTGTGTTCACATGATTTCAAAGATATTTTGTATGATTCTGTGGCAAGACCTGCAGCATTATCACAATGGAGCACCATAGTTGCATGCAGTTCATGACAGTTTTTGAACTCTTTGTGCTTTCATGATCTTGTTAGAAATATCTATAGTCTAGGTTATGGAATCATAGAATGGTTTGGGTTGGAAGCAACCTTTAAGATGATCTAGTTCCAACCCCTCTGCCATGGACAAAGACACCATCCACTAGACCAGGTTGCTCAAAGCCCCGTCCAACCTGGCCTTGAACACTGCCAGGGAGGGGGCAGCCACAGCTTCTCTGGGCAACCTGTGCCACTGCCTCACCAACTTCACAGTGAAGAATTTCTTCCCTATGTCTAATCTAAATCTACCCTCTTTCAGTTTAAAACCATTGCCCCTTGTCCTATCCTTACACTCCGTGAGGCAGAGTCCCTCCCCATCTTTCCTGTAGCCCCCTTTAAGTACTGGAAGGCCGCTATAAGGTCTCCCCAGAGCCTTCTCTTCTCCAGGCTGAACAACCCCAACTCTCTCAGCCTGTCTTCACAGGGGACGTGCTCCAGCCCCCTGATCATCTTCATGGCCTCCTCTGGACCCACTCAAGCAGGTCCATATCCCTCTTATGTTGGGGGCCCCAGAGCTGGACACAGCCCTCCAGGTGGGGTCTCACAAGAGTGGAGCAGAGGAGAAGAATCTCCTCCCTCAATCTGCTGGCCACACTTCTCTTGATGCAGCTCAGGACAGGGTTGGCTTTCTGGGTTGTGGGCACACATTGCTGGCTCATAGTCAGTTTGCCATCCACTAATACCCCCAACTAATATTCCAACTCTGTCCGGAAGGAAAATAGGTTTTGTTTTGTTGAAGTATTAGAAAATAGGTTTTCTGAAACTGACAACTCAATTACACTGTAGAATACAGCCACTGGATGCCTTTGAGGCTAGATAAGAACTAAACAGGATTGAGTGTTGATCTTGATAATCAAAACATTCAGGTACATCAGACAGGACTTTACAAAATGAAAGAGAAAAAGGTATGAACCTATAGGTATAGAGGTTAGGTATGAGGTTGCATACAGACAACCTTACCAAGTCTGGATTTCATACATGCCGAGGTGAAGCTTCTAATACCTTAGAAGAAGCACACAAATATACCATATAGAGCACACTAGATCAACCAAAGGCAGTTCTTATTTCATCTTGCAGGTATTCAAATCTGAAGCATTAGAAGTATGAATTATTATAGACTTAGTTCACACAACAGTGAAATCCATTTCCATGCTTATTTCACAAAATATGACTGTGCATAAACACAAACAGGAGAGGTGCTTAGAATATTCTACCACAAAATAATTTATAGCAAAATCTTTAACATATTCAGAGGCACAAGGACACCCATAGGCTACACACAGCACTTGAAACCTAGTGTCTGAAGCACCTAGTAGAGAAAGAAGAAAAATTATTATATTCAGTGTTACTGTAAATAGAATTTACAGATTTTTAAAAGTTATTTTAGAAATCTGAAATCTGTTAGTAGCTTATGTACTTCATGTATTTTTAGAATGCTTGTCCCTTAAAGAAAAATAATACACAATTCAGTGAAACAGGCAGCTCTTAGTGCTTTTGATGTTCTGTACATTGTTACAAAAGGCATGGATGCATCCAACTCCAGGGATTTAATTGAGTTTATGCTTGTGTGCTAAAAATCAGTGGAGTGGAATAAGCCCTGCCAAAGAGTAACGCTGACACTAGGTCTTCCTTCAGCAATTAGAGCAGAAGCACCAAACAAATACCTGTTTCAGTTACATGGGTAAATCAATAAATTGATTCTATTTATGTAGCAGTGTGTCCCAGAGCTCAGGAGAACTTATGGGGAAAAAAGCCCCTCTGTGAGGGTTCCTCACATGCAGAAGGAAACAATACTTCTAGTTGCAGGTAGCTGTTCATCAATGTTCGTTCACCAGTTTCTCCTTTCTCTCCCTGACAAATTTTCTAGTCAAGCAGAATATTTCAGCATCCACCCTTCCCACAGCGCCCTGTTTTCCAGATATGTCACTCTGTTGAGCAAAGTACAAGAGGATTTACAAAATTCATATATTCCCTTGGCAGTCTCACTTATCACTAGAGGAAAGTTGTATATACGCACAGCGGCATTTTACTATTATTTGACTAACTTGTCTGCAACAGCCTTTGGCAGTATAAAGTATAAGTTTGAACCTTCTCTCACTGGTACCCTAAGTGCCAAAATGTTAATGGAACAGTTATTTCTGACAAGCAAGTATTTAATGTCTATCTACCTAGATGGTGGTTGTGATTTTCAGATTTGAATGTTTAATGTTTATGTAATAATTTCTAATGTAACTTCATCATGCATACCTGTTTTGAGTTTTATTTAGTGCTGGAGTTGGATGTTACAGAGTGTGTGTGTGTGTGTGTGTGTGTGTGTGTATTTGGTTTTGGGGTGGGGTTTTTTTTTGGGGGGGTGTGAGGAAACCCATTTTTAAGTGACAACTTTCTGTGCATACTCAACTATTTTTGCTTGAAAACCTTGTATTCTCATTTAGTCCTAACACCATTAAACCTAGCTTACTGAGGCAGGAGTTCTGCCAGCTCTGCTGAGTAGTCTTTTTACACAACATGTCAAGACCAAGGCTGAAGTCATAAATGTACCAGCGCATTGATTTTTACAGTCATGACTGTACAGAACCAGAAAGGTTCTATGACTTAAAAAAAATATGCTTGAAAAAAGAAAAAAAAGGGGTTGAAAGCTGTATATTAGCTTATCTTTGGATCAGAAGACTAAAAAAACTTCCACAGAACTATCACCTTTGTTTACCACAACTCAAACATGAAAATGATTGACTGAAACCTTTAAAAGTAAAAGAAAAAAAAAAAGTGAGGAAAAAACCTCCAAACAAACAAAACACACCAAAACCTTCCGAAGCATATTTACTGTAAATTGTGGAATACAAAGTGTTAAAATGGCTGAAGGATATCACAGTACAAACATTCGGCAGAAAATACTTCCTGAACAAATTACAAATTTTAAAAGTTGCAGATTTGCAACTGTGGGTCACATGAAAAAAATCACCAAAAAAAAAAAAAACCATTAACTTAAGGAAGCTGGCTACAGAAGTGTTCAATAATTTCACAGCTCAATTCGCACATTGGTTTATTATCATTCTAACCCTGCTGTAGAGGATTTATAGTCAATTAACACTTCTAAAGGTCTTTGAAGACTAAATACATTATGTTAAATCCTTTGTGTCAATTTGTGCTCTTCTGATATAAATCAGAGTAGAATCTCTCTGGTAAAGCAGAACAGAGGACAAATTAGAATCACAATTTATAAATCAAAAATTAAGAGAGTTCCGTAGTCTCCATTTCCTTGGCCTGCAATAGGTGTCCTCTCAAGCAAGTCTAGCAGGGAAAAAAGAAACATAAGAGTTCAGGTCAGCTTGTTCCCTGTTTTGGTGAGCTTGTGAGGCAAATGTGTGGACACAGCATTTTTCCAAGCTCTAGGCTACAGTCGCATACAATAAATTTCTATAGATGAGGAAATGGCCTCTCTATATCCACATGTATAGCTGTCAAAGTCTACCAACTTGAACAGATTATAAAGTTATTCAAAAGTAATTATTATTTTTAGTACACAAGTACAGGAAGAACTGAAAAACTTGGTGAGTAAATGCTAATAACTGTAAGGGAGCCAATTTAAAAAAAAAAACAAACAACAAACAAACAAACAAAAAAAAACCCACACCAACCAAAACCAGAACAAATGGCCTTTAAAAACTGCCCAAGAAATGGTTCATTGGGTATAGACCACCACACGATAGAACAACACAGGACAACCAGTGAGAAAGCTTCTTAAGTAAACCATTATCAGTCTACTGCTCAACACCAATAGTTGTTGAGATTCCTAACATAGTTGCCGAAAGTTAATTATGATTCTTTAGGAAGGACAGATTCACCATCTAATCCCTGTAAGTAAACACAGTTTCGGTCCTCACTAAAAGGACAACTGAAGCAGTAGGCACCTCAAGTGTGACTTTCATCTGAGAATCTCAAGAATATTGAGTTTAACAAGTTCATCTTCCCAAAACCTGTGGGTGAAGGAAATATTACATTAGTTTTTACAGACTGGGAAACTTACAAATAGTGAGGTTCAATGATTTAAATGCAAAAAATGCACAGAATTCCACTTTAACTACTACTGCACACCATCTCCTGCTGCTCTGTAGAGCAGGTCTTGTACAAACACTATTCAACAAGGGCAAGGCTGTGTATAGGATTAAATTCCTAAGCAAGAGAAGCAGAAGCAGCAAGCTCAAAGTTTGAGCACTTTACCAAGAGGGGTTTTGTTTTGGTTTGTTTGTTTAATAAATTCACCTCAGGACACAGAAAACCCTGTTTAAGTACATGCTGTAATTCTGTTGCTTAGGAGCAAGGAAGAAAAGTTAAACTTTGGTTGACAATAACACGAGAGAGACACTAGCATCTCCTATTTCTAGTAACACGTTTTTAACTGTGCTAGGAGATGACCCTCCCTAACTGTTCCAAAGTTTTAGCTGATCTCTTTTGCAGGGAAAGCATTCATCACCAACACCTGTGAGATAAACAACAGGCAAAGGATTTCATGTGTGGCAAAGCTGCCATGTCTCGGAAATATCTGTCACTGGGTCAAGTGGCAACTGCTAAGAGGTCAGCTGAGTTTTCTTCCAAAGACCAGCTGAAGCAGAACATTAAAACATGATCTTTGAATTTTACAGCATAGAAGGAATAGGAAGTGAAGGATTTAGAAAGTATCAAATAACTCTTTGGGGGGCAGGAAGGGGGTGTTAAATCTGTAACTACATTGCCAGAGAAATCCAGAATTAAACAATGGATCTCAAATGTGGCCCTGCATTTTCATTTTTTTCATACTTTTGTCATTTCCAACATTCTTATCAGAGTAAGAAACAAAATGATACCAAGTCCTGACAACCACTCAGATGGTGTTTGAGAAATCTGAAAATCTCACAGACTGGAAACATCAGAAACTGTCAGAAACAGAAGTGTTTAAGAGAGCAAATCCAGCCAACTTATTCCTGCAGTGCCCATTACAGATATCAGCTCAGGGCTAGCAAGCTCAGCATCATGTATTACCTTATTCTGACTAGAAGTATAGAGAACATTATTAAGAACAAATTCATTTATTTGTATTGGTGTTTCTTCTAGCACTTTCACGTTTTAAATTTTTAGAGAATTTGAACAGTATTGCTAAAGTATCTCACAACCCATCATTAGAAACCCAACAACAGGCACAAGTTTTGCTCTGTAAAAATGCCAGTTCTGTGGCATTTTAGGACTTTCCAAGGCCTAAACTCTTAAAGTGCCATTGCAACGTCACACATGCTTCACTGAGTATTTTATTGGCATTTTAGCATCCTAGGTTTTTTTCATTA